GTGTGCAGAGGGCACTGTGCTCAGGAACAGGCTCAGTCTGCAGGGCACTGTGCTCTGGAACAGGGTCAGTGTGCAGAGGGCACTGTGCTCAGAACAGGCTCATTGTGCAGAGGGCACTGTGCTCAGGACCAGGCCCAGTGTGCAGAGGGCACTGTGGCACTGCACACTGCTTCTGACGTGCCCTGCTTTGGATAACGAGAAGCCTTAAACTCCTCTTACATTTTCAGGATCATGATCTCGTTCTTGGCTGCCTTGCGCACTTTTTTTCCATCCTTCTTGAGGAACTTCTTACAGATGAACACCTTGTCGGTCTGCCTCTCCTTGGCCAAGCACAGCTCACAGAACTCCTTCCTGTGGAGGGAAGAGACCGCAGGCTCAGCATGGAATGAGCTGAGGGATCCATCCATCTCAAGAGCTGTTTTATCCCATCTCTCTCCTAAAATAAATTCTGAACTGTTGGTTATTCTTCTTTTCCAACCAACAGTGCAAAATTCACCAGAAGTTCACCCACCCTGCTCAGCTGCACCATTCTGAATTGTGCCAGCCAGGCAGAGCTCAGAACCTGAAATGACTGCGACTCCCAGTACCCAGTACGCAATTCCCCTGCCTGCATTAGAGGGGCTTGTTTCTGTCTCCAGGGGTTTGTCAAACTAATCTGACAAAATTGTGAGTTCGAGTGGAACAGTTCTGAGCCCCCAGAGAGCACTGGGAGTCCGTGTAGCGGCTCAGCCTCTCCCAACAAGGATAAGACTGCAGACTGCATGTTCCCTGGCAATTAGGCAGCCAAATCTCCCAGAGCCCAGAGAATCACGCTGCCGCCTCAGAGGAGCAGGGAAGAAAATAATAGGAAAATTCAGCTGCTCTAAACCAAGGAAAATCAAAGTTAATTTGTGTTTTTATTTTTACTGAACAGTCTTTTAATTGATTTTAAGCCCATTCAGTTCCTCTCTTTAATCTTGTGAGAAAGCCGTGAACCGCAGCCAAGCTCCATTGTCTGGAATAACTGCGTGGACACAATCCAGGTGCTAACAAGGTCGCTGAGCCTGTGCTGCACAAAGCACTAGATGAAGCAGCTTCAGTGTTTTATTCAGTCTTAGAGGTTTAACTCAAGGGAGTCTCAGGAGAGAAAGTCTGGTGCCATTTAAAGTAAAACACGAGGCTCAAAGCACAAAACCTCTCATTGCAGTTTACTGGAAGGCACTGAAGGAAGAAGCTCTGGAAAGCATGAACCCAGAAGACAAAGAGGGTCTCGAACGGTGCTGAGGTCCTGTACGTGCTAGCAGTGTGCCTGGTGTGTGCTACAGACAGGAGGACCTGAGAGAGCAGGGCTGGGACTCTTAGGGAGCCTGGTGTCCACCTGGGGTCTCAGTGACACAGCTGGTCTAATTCGTTACTATAGAGCCTAATTGTAACACTTCTAACCAGACTCCCAGGAGTTTTGTTGGTACCTGTATGTAGAACAAGGGAATTGCTTGAGTTACATTATACATTATATATATTTAACATAGAAAATACCCAGCACACAGAGAGCCCCCTGCTTTCCAATGGCAAAACACAGGCCCAGAACTGTGACCAGCAGAACTGCAGCTCTGGGCCTCCAGTGTGTTCAGGTGTTGTGTTGTGATCTGGGCCCATGTGCAATCGCAGCAGGACGAACAGTTAATGAAGCTCCAGGCAGACAGCCCAGTCTGAGAAGGTCGCACATCTGTAAAGCTTGTGATTGGTGGTTTTCATACTCACGCCCTCAGGATCTGCCCGATCTCGTACTTGTCGGTGATCTCCGATAGGCTGTTGTAGGTCCGCCCATCTCGGATGGCCAGGCATCCAAATGGCATGACGGCACACACCTGAAAGACAGGGGGCACCCAGACAGGGCGAGAGACGGTCACACGCAGGGCCTGAGTCCTGGCTATGCTGTCAGACCTCTAGTCCCTCACAGGAGACAGCATTGCAGCTGTAGAGCACAGCACTGAGCCGAACGGCCCAGTCTGGACCGCAGCCCGTGAGCCCGATCCGCACAGGTCTGCACAAGCCCTTCTGGTGTCAGCCTGTGTGCAGTGCACACGGCCAGGCACACTTCATTCCATTCAATAAAAATACTTCCCAAAGAAAACTCTGGATTGAATTCTCTTTCCATCTGACAGCTAATCTCCCTGCTTTCTATAATCCCTGCACTCTAATCTTGCTCATCACATAAATGAGTCTGGGATATAAATAGGGCAGGACAGACACGTGGAGAATGGCGGAAGCCATCCCACAAGGCAGCGCTCCACGAGCTTCGATAAGCAGCTCCTTCTCCACACTCCTCTCGCTGTGAAGCCTCAAGACTCTCCCTGCTCCATCGACCTGCAGGCCCTGAGCAGAAGAGACACTCTGCTCATTTGCCCTTCACTCTCTCAGCTCATTGAAACGCAGACACACCTGGTCTTGGACTCCGCCTTATGGGTGTTATACAACACTGTAGGGTTTTTATTTACAACTCAAAAAACAAAATACTGGCTCAGCGCATTGCTAGTCATGTTGCAAACTGAATGCAGTTGTACAATAAACTCCGTTGAGGGTCAGATCTCTCGGGAATTCTCCTGTTCTCATCCCAGGCTCTCCAGGGTGAGAAATGACAGCTGAGCCACACAAGCTCTGCCCTCGCTCTGACCCAGGAGACGGTGGTCGGTGGCGGCTCTGGTGGAGAGAACACAGTCTCACGGGTCCTGGCAGCAGGAGCCAGGCTTGGCACTGCCTGCCGGACACTGCCCGCTGCAGAGGGCTCCCGGAGCCATGTGCTGGGCCCCCCCCCCCATCACGCCCCCTCCTGGCGTGACAAGGCTGTACCCCGGCCAGAGCAGTGAGCACAGCGCCGTCCCCTCGTCAGCTCACGGCGAGTGCTAATGGGCCTGATCGATGGCTGATGGCCGCGCGATATTGACGACTTTTTAATGGTCTGGGGGCTGCAGGCGGCCTGCTCCTGCAGCACAGCTGAGATCATTAATGCCTGTAATAGATTGATTGTCCTCATCTTTTTCACCTCTCCCCCCCCCTTCTCCTTTCTTCCTCTCCGACCTCTGACCTCCACAGACTCCCTGACTCCGCTCTGTCTTTAATCACGGACCGTCTTCAGCTTCTGTCCTGCAGGCCACGGCTCTCTCGCTCCTTTCTGTTGGGCTCTCGCTTGCGAATCACTAAGCAACCAGATCCCTTTGCTCTGTTGTCTGCCGTCCGCCAAAAGAAAATAAAAGAGCTCACACTGACAGCTATTATCAATACCACCGCTGTACTGCAGTTTATACAGGGCTACTGCTGCAGCGGATACTGTTTCTGCTGATCTCAGACCTGTGATGAGCGCTGTCCCCTGTGTAACCCCAGGGCTGGCTGATCTGGGAGCCTAGGCAAGATCTCAGAAAGGGGTCCCCCCAGGTCAGGCTTTTCGCATCCACTACTATTATCAGATCTCAACACTAACTGGATAACTTTAATTAACCAGCTTTGAAGAACTCATAATAAATCACTTACAAACAACAACAAGAAGCAGAACTTTTACAAGGATAACATGTACTTTAACATTGAAACTAATAAAAAGGAATATTAATAACAATAAATAATGATAAACAGGATCTCTGTTACTTCAAAATTATAACAAATCATAACCTACAGATTACTGCTTTGAAACCTTCGCAGAAAGGAGTTGTAGAAATAAATACACAATTAAGTAAGAAATATGTGCTCTCAGTAACAAGAGTGGTGGTCCGATCAGTAACGCCGAGAAGACAGGAAGGTTTTATAAAAAAAACATTCTATTAATCAATGTGCCTAGATTTTGGGAAGGCAAAATCATCGATTTCATCTTCATACGATAGCAGTCGACTCACTGTGTGATTGATGCTCATGATGGCCAGTCCAGGGCTCACCTCAGGTGTGGGTTAACTTGAGCTCTGAAAACTCCTCTCTGCTCCTGCTGCTGTGACTGGGAGAGAGACTGCAATCCGAGGGCTGCAGGATGGGGTCACAATACCCCCCATTTAATGAAATATAGGAGAAACCAGATGGTTACAGATATGCGCTGCAGATTTTTTTGTACTGTTCCTTCACTTTCACCCTTTTGTTTGGCCGGGCAGCGATCCACACGGCTTGTGTACGACTGATGTAAATGCGAACCACTTCTAGTGAGACACCTCCAGTAGGCTACGTGTGCAGCAGCTTGTCTGCCGCTCTCTAGTTAAATGGATCCGACTCCATATATCTGTAGAAATCGCTGATCCCACTCGCCTTTTCTGCGCTTCGGAAACATCACGCGCTCGATTCTGACTGGTCACTTTTGGACTGGGATTCCATTAGGATGATCCACAGCAGAAACAGAAAGAGCCGCTGGAGGGAATTTTTCGCTCACATTTGAACGTGCTGATTAAAAACATGCTGTGCTGCACATTGGGGGGCCCCTGGTGGCCTCGGGGCCCTGGGCAGTCGCCTAGTTCTCCTGTGCTCAGGGCCGGCCTGTGAAACCCAGAGCCCCTGCTTCACCAAGTGTCCCCTTTTGGAGAAGCCTGCTCAGCCCCAAACCCCAGTCCTTCACAGAGTCCTGGGTCCCCAGAACATCTTCAGCTTCTCGTCTCCCGAGGAACAACGCGTCAGTCCTCTCGAGTTCTCCACGTCTCTTCCCTGAGGGCACGGAAACTTCACCTCACTCCCGGGAGCCCTGGCACACTCAGCTGGGCTCGTCTTGCACAGCCAGGCTTCCCTGCGCCAGGAGATACACGTTCCCCTTCTCTCCTGGGACCTACAGGCACCCAGATTCCAACTAGAAACACTGCTAATCTACGACATCAGAGAGACCACGGAGAAGCACGTTAATCCAGGGATACTTCACTAGTTTTTCAATTGCTTACATTCAATCTGGATCCATCTGTCTTTACTAATCTCATGCCTAATGAAATCTTTGCAAGTCTTCATCATCTAGTTCAGGCTGGAGAAGTTGGAAAGAGACTCAGGACTGCAGGCTGGCTGCTGTCAAAGGACAGGAGTTGAATAAACATTCCCATGCTGTCTAACCTCTCTGCAATTCAGGAATAATATGTCACTCTCCCTTCCTGAACTGAACTGAATTTAGACACAGCCCCTCGCCTTCTGCACCTGACCGCTGTTACAGCGACTGCTGCTGTTCGTGAGGAATGTCCCAGTTCAGCACAGGGCCAATCAGGTTCACCTGCTTGGCCATCTTCCAGCGACCTGATTGCTCCCCTGAGACACAGGGACATGTTACAGCACCAGGTCAGCCTGCCAGAGCCCAGGGAAGTGTGTGAACTGCTGGGCTTCACCTCCCTGTTTATCTGCTTGACTTTATTGCTAATTAGGGGCAGCCTCTGTCTCAGTTAATAACCTATGTGTGATCTCTGGCCATAGCTCTGCTGACTGCACAAGGAATCTGAAGTCAGATTCCTGACTTCAGCTGAAGGTCCATTGACTCGTCCAGGAAAACACTCTCCTCGGAGCTTAGGGATGGTGGATGAGAGCCAATTATCTTTTCCCGGGATGTGGAGCTTTTGTGCCCTCAGTCTGTCTGCAGAGTGGGGAGGCTGTCAGTCTGGGACTTTGCCAGTGTGGCCATCTCAGACCTTAAGATCAACTCGATTCTGTAGTGCAGCAAGGGAGCACTGATGTGGAGATCAGCGTGTGCGTGTGGATGTGCATGTGCCTGTGGTGTGTGCAAGTGTGCACATGTTTTAAAGAGTGTGTGGTGTTTGCATGTCTGTGTGTGCACGTGGGTTTGTGTGCAGGAGTCTTTCTCCCCAGTGGCTGCAGTGTGTGGGCCAGAGGCAGGTGTGAATTATAACCAGCTGTTATTATAAATGGGTGTCTATGGGAATAAATAATGGCCCATTCCTGAATTATTAAAAAGAAAGAATGATGAAGTTCTAAGAACATTTTGTTTTAGTCACAAAATCCAGAAGGCATGCTTTGTAGCAACGGTGAGAAAGGTAGTATATTTCTCTGGGAGACAGGACTGCAAATGGTTTTGACAGGGAACAGTTCATCCTGCCTTGTGGGCTTGTATTTATGACACCAGCGGCAGTGAGGGGGCCAGAGAAAGTGAGAAAGGAAACAGCAGACATCTGATTGCCTTTTCATCTCCAAAGCTCAGCGATCTCACTGCTAATTTAACTCTGAGAGAATATTACCATGCTGCAATGGGGACAGCACAGACAGATCTCTGAGTGAGAGGGCACTGTTCCCCAGTCCTATACTGTATAATCCCACACACTGTTCCCCAATCCTTCACTCTTTAATAACACACACTGTTCCCCAATCCTACACTCTATAATCCCACACTGTTCCCCAGTCCTATACTGTATAATCCCACACACTGTTCCCCAATCCTTCACTCTTTAATAACACACACTGTTCCCCAATCCTACACTCTATAATCCCACACTGTTCCCCAGTCCTATACTGTATAATCCCACACACTGTTCCCCAATCCTTCACTCTTTAATGCCACACACTGTTCCCCAGTCCTACACTCTATAATCCCACACTGTTCCCCAATACTACACTCTATAATCCCACTGTTACCCAATCCTACACTCTATAATCCCACACTGTTCCCCAGTGCTACACTGAAGAGCAGTGGTCCTAAGTAAAGTTTCCTGAGGTACTCCACTAATTACATCACCTGAACTGGAGCATTTACCCCTCTGTGTGTATCCATGGATTCCTGTCCATTAATCACTTCTTTCTTGGATTGCATGCAGTACAATGAATGCCTACCTGCTGAAGATTGAGAATTAATCTTTAATGAGGAACTCAAAACTCAAAAACCTCCTAAGAATTTAAATATGTCTAAATATTGTATGCCTGT